TTTTTTCTTGTTCTTTTGTATTTAATTATTCACCCCCTTTACTTTCCCTTTTTCTTTTTGCTTAAATATTAGGTTACACTAATACGAGTATCGTATTGCCGATGGTACCCGAAATGTATGTGTGCTGTTTTGTGTGTGCTGTTTTGTGTGTGCGTTATGTTCGAAATATGTATAGTTATAAAACCTGTTGGTATCTATGAATTGGAAATGTGGGTGTATGGGTGCGGATGTGTGTGCGGGCGTGTGTTTGGGTGTGAAAAAAAACAACTCTTTGTGACCATGCTTTTGTATTATCTGGACAGAAGTTTATTATATGTTATGTACACTGTATTATTGTATGATCACTGAGAAAAAAATAAATTATATATAAAAAAAAGGCTATAGGCTGGGCAACTATTTATACTGTATATGTATTTAATCTATAATTTCAGTTCAAATTGAAAATGTATGTCAAAGAGTTGTTAAAAATATGACAAAATGCGATAGGTAGTCGGCATTGAATAGAACATAAACATGCATGTTGTTAGACTGTCGTAATTGCTTTGTCACAACTTACAGAGGCACACATGTGTATCTGTTAAAGATGATTTTAAATTGCTACACTACGGTAAGTATGTTGACATCATTACAATGAATCATGTTTTACTGACAATGTACCATATAATGGCAGACGATTTTGCGACATTAAGTGGCAAGTGCGACATTTCGTAAAATTGAGACACTTGGCATGTAACTGTTACATTTAGCGCGTCATTACTCTTTGTTTTTATACTCAATTGAAGTCACGTCAATACATATGCATGTCCGTGCAATATCTTTTTTTATGGAGTCGTTAAAGCGGCACGACCATGTAACAAAGACAAAATAGAACAGTATTGTAACAAAGGAGGGCAGTTTCATACACATGTGTCTGTTAAAGTCAGGTCATTTACACCAGAGCTATTACCCTTCAAATAGTAGAGTATTTCACAATTATTTCATATTGAGGGGACACACGAAGCACTTGTCCCGTTTTTGAAGGGCAGACAATATAATGATATTTTATTTTTTTAATATTTCATACATAATGACAAATTTGTCATTTATGCAAAATAATGTTTAGCTTTTGAGGAAAAAAACTTATATGTACACAAATAAATAACTATAAATACTGTACATGTACATGTGTATATTTAGATTAGGTCCATTTTCATATCAGCGTTATTCCCTCGGTTTGTTAATCAAATATAAAAAAGCAACATCAACAATAAAAAAAGTCCTTTGATGTGACGTGTGTGTCTGTTTATTTATTTTAAAGATATATGTATAAACGTGGTATTATTTCCCCGAATTAAACTTTTTATTTCAGCACCATATTTGTTCACCTTGTCAACTAAGTCGTTATCTTAACCTCTTTATCTAGACTATCCCGACTGACATTGATACGTTGTCTTTTATCAAACATTTGAACGCTGATATCTTGTATCTGACATGTGCCGTCATAGTGTAGTCCTATATTCTAACATTGGTCAAAGTTGTATTATTGTGTGATAAAAAGTCACACTTTACGTACACCCAATCAACAACATTTAACTGTAGTAACTTTTTTCATTTAGAATACACGATCTTATTAAACTCTATTTAAAGTGTCAGTTTTATTTGTTTTGTAATTCTTTGTCGTGCTCCTTTTCAGATCTAATCAATTTTGTTAGGGGTATATCCTCCTATACCACTAATGAATCTATAATCGTTCATATATGGTATCGCATATTTTATACCTAACACAATGCCGTTATTATGAGAATAAAATATAGGTCAATATAACATATAACTTTTATATACGTTTTGCAATACATAGTAAAATGGTTTTTTTTATAACATAAATTGTATTAAGTACGATCTCACTATGTAATACAAATAAATGGTCAGGGAAACAATAACAAGAATATAGTATCACAGGGTTGTGGGCACACATGTATTAAATTATATACGTTTTTATTAGTTTTTTTGTATTATTTGCATTAAGTTAACATGGTCTACTTTTTCTCTGGATATTTCAATATTCTTGAATCGTGTGGCTACTATACTTGGATACTTATGAAAGACAAAGGCTTTACTTATTCTTTTAAAGACTATATAATATAATTATATTAATTATATAAATGATGAAAAATAAACATAATAATTATGTTTTTTACAATACATTCAATAAATAACGAGAACACTTAAATCGTTTAAAATGAGACCGCGGTTGTTCTCATATCTAATAAAACAATATGATAGATTTATGAATATATACCTATATGTATATTGCTGTATCTTACAAAATCTTTAGAGGAACTCATTTAAGGTCCATGCAATTTTAATTTCTAATAACAATTATCTTGTACATCTAAAACAAAAATAAGTTTTCCTTCAATTACCAGGTGATGCAAGTTTTTTGTTGTTGTTTTTTTTGTAAGAAACACTTGATTCTAAATAAAGAAAAAAACACAAAATAAGGAAAACGAGAAATGATTGAGATAAACAGAATAATGCTGTATCATAAACATGATATAGCTGTTTAGGTTCATGACATAGAAGAATAAAAATTTGATAAAGAAGAACTGTTGATTTGTCAGTCAAATATTTGACAAATGACAAAATAATATGGTTATCACGGCTAAAATCTTGACTTTGAATAAATTTGAATAAATTAAAAGTTGTTAGTGTCTGATGTAAAGAAAGTTTTTCTTACTTAAAATATGAACCTTCCCGCATCGAAATGCTTTATGACTAGTGATTTATTTGGCAATGGCCAAATCTCTTACTCACCAGCCATTCAACGTTTTGAAAATGACGTAAAAAAGGGAAAACAAAAGGTGACACATTTCTTCATCATTTTTGTCTCTTTATCTTTAAATAAAACTTTAATTGCTTATGTTATACTTATGTTATGTAATACTAGAGGCAAAATATATAAGGGTCGTTTAAAAGTATGTAAACAATAATTGTATAAATCACATGCACACTATAATATTATATAGGATGATAAATACCAATATTTTGATAATTATCGTGATTTTCGCATATAATTAATCATATAATATCTATGGTGGCTGATTTGGTACACTTTGCGCGTTGCGTTGTCGATAGCGACAACACAATCTATATCGTTATCGCCTTTTCGTCTTGTCGCTGGCGAAATTCGCCAAACAGCGCGTTGTAGCACTGTCTGTCGTCTTGTCGTCCTATCTCTAGCAAAGCACGTCAAACGGCTCGTTGTAGTGCGGCGCGTTGTCGCGATGTCCCCCAGTCGCCTGTCTAATAAGCTTATCCTTCGATTTCATACTATGGAAGCTTGAATTGACCCCCCTAGATGTCGTGTTTGTGATAACTCATGTGCGTCATGTCGACTTATATTTACGCGAAATGACGTCTTCTATCATTGTTTGGTGAGATAATAAAGACGTCTGGGCAACGTTTGTTTCAAGGCATGTCGACATATTTTTTGTCAATAATGGAGTTGATGAGAATCGATAAAAGCTAAGTCAACGTATTTCATCTCGACAAGCCTTGTTATACATTGTATCTGCTTCTTGGAATATATCACCGCGTATTAACATCATCGGCACTGTCGGAAAGACCCAATTAATATCCGGAAAATAAACCCCTACCACCAAACCAAAATCTTAATACATAGAATTGTTCATCCTTTGAAGAACATATTGGTAGACACTTGTGTTTTAATATAAGTTTGGTATATGTCCGTTTCTGCAGTGCATTTTGTATATGCGTTTTTATCTAACTAGCAGTTATACCAGATAAATTATTTTAGTCAGTGCTTGATTAGAAACCATATATTTTATATACGTATATACATGTACACTTATCAAGACGTTTGGACACCTTTAAAATGATATTTCAGCTTGCAGCCAAATGTACTATTCTGAGTTATAGTATTGTACATATATTAGTAACTTAATTTATATACATTAACACAGTGTTTGGTGTCCAGACGGTCCTCAGATGGAACCCATTTGTACTTAATTTGCATATATGACGTTTTCAACCATGAACAGGCACATATATATGTGATTTGTTATACTGCCAATCACTTCGTGAATCCGTGGCATTGAAAACATTGAAAGGTGTTCAGACGTACGTCCGTGTAATTGTGGTTCAAATGGTCCCCGTCCTGTGTTATAATAGACATTAGTTATGTCGACATGGTCTGATACAGATGTTGTAAAGATTCTAAGTTTCTCCATCAAAACCATGATAAAACACGCCATGTTGCACTAATATATATAAACATGACCACATATAAATTATTACGTACCACGGCATCTCGGGGGTCAATTCAAGCTTGAGTCGAGCGACAATGTGAGATCGCGAAAACACCTTAGCGACAGGACGACAAAACGAAAGTCCGACAACGCGCCGTTTGGCGTTTTGACGTGCTAGCGACAACATGACGCACAAAAGCGTTCAAATCGGCCACTTTTTCTGATCTACATATATAAAATATTCATACTTGCCAGTATGATTGAAGTACTTGTTTTATAGTTAAAATGATTGGGTACTTTATTACCCTTCCAGATTGTTCCCCCTTTTTGATTGGATATTGATCCGCCGAAAGAAATTGATATTTCCCCTTTTGGTACCCATGTATAAAACAATATGCGCTGTGAAGATGCGCGAACGGTTCGATCTTGCGCTCCGTTGACGTCATTTTGCGGTGAAGGAGTCAAAGGAATCTTATTTCGACGTTAAATTTGAAAAACATTAAAAAAAATTTACATTTGTATTTATTTTAAAATCGTTTTACTCGGAAGGGATGGGTAAAAACATCAACTGAAGTTGTTTAATAAAATTTTATAGTCCATAATCCAGGCAATGCATTCAAATGATTGTACAAGAACAAAATGTATAACAATGTAGAACGAAAAATGATGATCAATTTGCTTAAATTAATTGATCTTTAAGCGAAATAATTTAAATGTAAGTATCTACCAGCATATACATAAATAAGAACTTACATTTATTGCCTTTCTAAAATTACTCCATTACGTTATTTTCCTCTTTCTATTCACAAACAAAAACATTTTATTTTGATTTGACGGGCAAGATATATATATATATATACTTATTATTATCTTTAGCTTCTATCGCGTGACAAGTCATGTATATATCATGTGATATATACACCCGAGATGTGTGACAGGACTTTGTGAAAAAATGGCCTTATTTAGGCCCCCAACACTTGTTTTTGTTTGAAAAAGGTTGTTTAAAAAAATAAACCACTTTTTCGGCGCGGTCACCCAACCAAAAGATACATCAGGGGGTTGCCAGAAGGGGAATGTGCCTCCTTCTATTTGAGGGATTTGAAGGGGGCGGCAGTCCCCCTCATCGCCAAGAACATTTAAGACTTATGAGAGGCTAAAAATAACCCCAGAACGATCAAAAGGTAACGTGTAACCAACGCTGAAAAGCATATGACTCTATCCCAATCCATTGAAGAAACATTTATTCTTCATAAAGCAAATAAAAATGTAGTAGGTGAAATGCAATTTATGTATGTAAAAACAAACATCATTTGTATGCACACTTAATTATAGATAAGTTATTATTATATGTATATAACTTATTTTGAAAACCTATTTTAAAGCTGCTTTTTGATAAAAAATAAAGGAGAAAACATGCACGAGTTGCCTTTTTCGCAATTTTAATTATAATTATTCCAACAAACGATGCCGTTAACGAACACGATGCTGTTTTTTAAAAACAAAATTATATTGTAGATAACTTATAAACGTGACACTTTTAATGTAGTTGGAATGTCCATTGGTGCAGAAACCCTTCACCGATATAACTAACATTAATTATGACATTACCCTATATACTGATAATCTAGATGAATTTCAAGATAAATAGTGCATATACTGTAGTGAAGTGTTTAAATCAGACAATATATATCACAAAGATACAGATAGTTGTACTACAATTTTTGTTATGAAGGACGATTGTGAAAAATCTCGGTTCTATAAACAAGCCCATTCTGGTATAGAACAAATATTCTTTACGGACCACTCCATAATTCAAACTTTCGATTATATCTTTGTTTAAACATGTGTCATGTTACATACTTAAGCAAATTATAAAACGTTTAATTTGACCTAATTTATGCCGCAAAACTAAAATATTTTCTCATCCGGAGATTAATGATGTATGCTAATTTATTAACCATATTAAAACGGAGTACCTATGTCTCTCCTAGTCTACGGCATAAAAAACCCCAAACGTTGGTAAGAAAAAGAGAGCGTTCTGATAACAGGAATTCCATACACACGTTTGACTGTATTTCTTTGATCGAGCTGCTTGGTTAGAAGTTACTTCGTTTACTCTCTTATTTTCAACCTGGCATGTTACTGACATTCATTGCTCCATGCTTAACCTCAAAGAGAGTTATCAACAATCGTCTATGAATAGTTTATATACAACCATTGAAATGCAAAGCAAACGGGGTGTCAGTTTACGTCTTTTTAAGTCCGCTTTTACATTTAAAGAAGATCATATAATAATTTCTTGGAGAACTTTGAGTTATAGATTTTTCTCCTTTCTATTTTTTTGCAAAACGTGAACGTTGCACAAACGTTAACTATGCATTAAATATCGGAGATATATTTCATATAGCCATATTAACCTTCGGTCATTTGGCTAGAGTACGTATTTATTTTTTATAATTTCGACTTTTTCGTATAACAGAACAGGTAATGTTCAGTCTACAAACAGTGAACGTAATTTCATATCAGACGTAGTCCATCAATTCAATGTCATGTCACATTTCCTGAAAATATAACGAATACGACACTACGTCTGTAAACGAAAGCAACCGTGAGTTGCATAACAGATAATTCACATTCATAGGAAAATTTGGTCTTAGTGACTCATGTTTTGTCCTGTAACTGCTTTTCAATACAAAGCTTGTTCAATGCACCTTTGGCGTACACAAATTTCTGTCTTCAAAACAATTTTACAAAAAAATAGGTTAAAGCCTCAATTGCGGATAAAAGTGCAATACGAATACAAAACAAATTGAACACGACCTTGACATGTGGGTTGCTAAAGGAAACACATAATTATACAAATATGTTATGTCACAGAAAGGGGCTCTTTGGCATACATTATGGTTGTCAATCTAAAATACCGACAAAGATGACTTCAAGTTCAACCAATAACTTTGTACATCACAGCTTATCCTTTCCTATCTGATAGATAGCTAGTCCCAACATCACCTATATAACGTTAATATTTGCATTATACCAACATCAATTTAAATATTGCAATATGTAACGGTAGTTTTGTGACATAACAGTAAAGGGAAATGATGTGACATATAAGGTCATCATTATGACATTTAACGGCAAAATATTTTGAGGCATGTAGCGGATGTTGCGGCATTTATCGACAATAGTGCGCAATTAAAAGGCAGGTTCGAAACTTAACGTCGTTGCGATATATAACGGCGCAACATTCACTGCATAAGTATGCCTTATATAGAGGATATTGAATGAGTGTAGTTTAATACTTAGTCTAAATTTATTGAACGAGTTGAATAAAATCATATTATGCGAGCCTCTGGCGAGCATAATATTGTTTTATTCAACGAGTTCAATAAATTTAGTATTGAATCTACACGAATATAATATTCAATTTATCACATATATAAAATAAGAACAATAAACTGTAAAAATGAGTAATTTTTCAACTTCGCGCCTAGAGTGTAACGCTATCATTAGCGCGCTTTAACGCTATGTTTCTATATAGCGCAAATGACGTCACGTCAAAGTGTTATTACACTAGTGTAATATCGTTTTTATTAAATAGAGGATATTGAATGAGTGTAAGTTCAATACTGAATATTATTTTATTCAACGAGTGCAATAAATTCAGTATTGAACTTACATGAATTTAATATTCTTTTTATCACATACCCAAATAAAGACCGTTTTAAGTGAAAAAAGAGTCAGTTTTTATTGACGCGCCTATAGTGTGACGCTAACATTTAGCGCGTCTTTACACTATGTTTGTATAACGCAAATGACGTCACGTCAAAATATATGCAGGGCCGTGCAATACCATATTTACGGAGTCGCAAAGTCGGCACAGGTGTGTGATAAATAGAGGATATTGAATGAGTGTAAGTTCAATACTGAATTTATTGCACGAGTTGTATAACATTATATTATGCGAGCCTCTGGCGAGCATAATATAATTTTATCCAACGAGTGCAATAAAATCAGTAATGAACGTACACGAATTTAATATTCTTTTTATCACATACCCAAAATAAAGACCGTTTAAAGTGAAATACTAGTCATTTTTCATTGACGCGCCTATAGTATAACGCTAACATTTAGCGCGTCTTTACACTATGTTTGTATAACGCTAATGACGTCACGTCAAAATATATGCACGGCCGTGCAATACCATATTTACGGAGTCGCAAAATCGGCACGGGTGTGTGATAAATGGCTTTATTACACTCCTGTGCCGCGGTTTATGTGATAATAATCTGATCTAGGTATCCCTGACATCTTTTTATTTCCAAAATATAAGTCTAAATTTTGCGTTTGGAGAGACATTTTTAATTATCCAATAAAGAATAATTATGTGTCTGTCATTCTCTAAGATAAAGTAGAAAAGTCTGTGACAAATGAGTTTGAGTAATGGACTGACCTCAATTGTTTGTAAAGAAACAAAATAGTTTGATACAACAGGTATATGAAATCTGTTTTGATGGCAGAATGTGATACTGTACTCGCGAATTGTAGAAAAAACTTGAATAATCATTGATTTACATGATAATGATTTTTACATAAACAGTACAAATTCAATTGGACAAAGCTCCTTCAACTCTGACACAATCCGGCATATATACTGATATTAGACCCAGGACCACCGTCTAAAATTACCCTCTAACGTTCTCAATAAAATTCATGCCTTTCCCCCTGAATACATTCTTTATTCATTTCTGAATGCCGTTTATGATGATATTCTTTAAAACAATTAATTATAAAACTAGTTTCAAATTAACACCCTGTTTGTGCTCCTTACCTCAAGCAGGAGAGTTGGTTTGGACGCTTTGTAAACCAGAGGTTTGCTAAAACTATCTTTCCTGTTTCGGTGCCATATGACATATACTGTTTTGGTGCGTCTCAAAATCAAACAAACATAAAAAACCAAAACATGCGATCTAGGCAAAACTCTAAAATCAGCGTTTTAAGTGTCACCAATGACCGTAATCAGAGTGGTTATGGGCTAATGGATAAATTTGTTATCTATAATTTCAGTTCAATTTGAAAATATACGTCTCAAATTGTTTAAAATATGTAAAAAATGCAATCGGTAGGACGAAACCAAGTCGGCATTAAATAGATAAGAAACATGCATGTTGTTAGACTGTCTTAATCGCATGCTCACAACTTACAGAAGCACAAATGTGTATTTGATTTAGATGATTCAAACTTGTTTAAAGCTAAATTTGCACACTAGGTATGTTATCATCATAACATGATCAGTTGTGAGACCATGTCAGATAAAATGAGAAGAAAGGAGAAGAAAACATGTCTTCCTTGAAATGAAAAAGGAGCAAAGTAAGGAAGGGATCCAATTACTTTGTTTGTTAATTGTAAATGTTTCTGGATAGAATCATAAAGAAAGTAATTGTGTGATTGTAATGTGAAAATATAATTCTATACATAAACTTATTATAGAACCAAGTAATTGATCATTCAGATATATCAAACATATTGAAGCTTTGATGATTTCTAAAATTTCTTGATATACATTTAAATTTCTTGACCAGACACATCCTTTATGTTGGTTTGAAGCAGTCATCAGCTTGTTTAAAAGGTCAAATATGTTTTTTAGACATCTCCTTTCGTAAAATCGTCAACTAAAATAAATTAAGGTAGAATATGTAACCTCCTGAAGATGAAATACATAAGCAATAAGGAAACCGTTCGTTTTTCCTGATATGTCGGTCCGCTTTCTAAATCGGTAAATCCGGCGTAGCTTAAGAAACGAACGCCACTGACCACGCGTTGTACATGTGAATAGTTCTCGGAACGC